TAAAAACTCTAAAGCTCTGGAAGTTCTTAAGGGGTTTTCTTGCACATTTGTGTGACAGATGTGCAATAATGAGTAATGAAACACAAAAGTATCCACATCATTCAAAATCATCTGGTGTCCAAGTCCAAGCTTGACTAACTCTCACGACGTCTTGCTTTGGTGGCCTCCTGAGGTCAGCTCCACTTCCATGTTAAAATACACTTTAAATAAACATATTTGCAGCCTGGTACAGATTGCAGTTTACGACTACAGCTAATTGCCCTTCGTGACATCAGATTAATTGCTTTAAAATGTAGCAGTTAAGCATTACATGGCTGCTTTGAGTGGCAGAATAGGCACCACCTGTCACTCAACATCTCAAAGTCTTTTAAAAATGTCTAATTACCACCATCTGTTATACTACGGCTTTATCTAGTGAGAAGCGTAACTCTTTAAGCACCCTTTCCATAAAGTAAACAACGCTTTGCAAATAGCTTCTGTGTGTTGGTTATATAGGCCATGCACCCTGCTGTGCATTCACCCTTGAGTGCAATGACTGTCCTTCAGAGCATATCCAGTTGACATTGGTTGAACCACTTCCAGCACATAGAGAGTTTGAGCCTAAAGGTGAATATTATGGTTTTACAGCTGTAGCACTGGTACCATTCTCCTTCTTAGTGGGCCAAACCACTATTGTTGTCTAATTAGCACAGTTCTTCTAATGTCCATATGAGGCTGGTTTTAAAAGTGAGTCAGTCCCCATAGACTCCCGTGTTAAAATGCCTAACTATAATACACAAATAAACATGTTTTCAGCCTGGATAATGAAACTGTTTTGGTCTAAGCTTCATGAGTTGGCGGTGTGAACGACAATAGGAGCTGTCGCCAATCATTGTCTGCTAACTGGAGTCACAGAACTGAACCTCTCCACCATGTTTATGCTATTGGTGCATCACAGCTGCACTATTTGACAACTACTGCATCTTACCTGCTGTTCAGAAAGTCTATGGTTTAATTCTGGTGTGTGAGCATATTATTAGCCTGTTGTTTAGCACTATTTAAATGATAACGGTTTCTTTGCATTGGACCTGTAAAGTTGATTGGTTGTGTCACAAGTCAACGGTGACATCTCTACAACTGTTTCAAAGTTATACCGCTGCTGTGCATCATACTCACTGCAGTGTTCTCAGTGCTAGCAAAGGAGTGGAAGTCAAAATGAAGTTTTCTCAAGAAAGTTTTATCTTTTTAAAAATTGTGCAGGATTCACTCACGTCTTCAACCGAACCACGTCGGCCACGCTACCCGCACAGGGTTACAAAAATCGAGAGGTGCACGACCAGCCTAAGCAACAGTGAAGCATGGCTTTCAAAATGAGGACAAAACATACCATGATGGCTGAGTTCATCTTTTACATACAGTCTATGCTTTTTAAATGCAAACGGGTTTCATGTTTAATTGTTGGAGCTTCATGGTA